ATGTTCATGTTCATTGAAGGAGAAAAAGGGGGGGGGGGTATCCTCCTATTTCCTCTTTTTTGTCAAGAAAAATTTCTGTAAGTAAAAAAAAAATGATGAGTATGTCAAACACTCCAAAAGTCCAAAAATTATGAATTTATTGAAAAAAAAAGTGGAGGCCGTCTATCTTAAAACCCCTCTTTCTTTCTGGATGGGGTGGGGTGGGGGGGGGGTGAGGACAGGGGCTTGTCTTGTTTTACCTATATAAATTAAAGAATTCATGAAAATTTTGATAGGGCGAGGGGGGTCAATGTCTTGATTATTGCATGCATTCGTTCGAGTAACAGGAACGTCGACCCCCCCCCCCCCCCCCCATTTTGTTCCAAGCATAACCACTACTTATAAACTGTTTATTAAAAAGGTGTTGACTTTTTTCCAAGCATAACCCCCCTCCTCTACACGCCCTTTTTATTGCGTCATTGGCGTCGGAAGCATATTAAAAGAGGGGGGTTAACGATAAGAATTTTTTTAGACCTCCAAAATAAACCCCGTAGGGGTGGGGTGGGGTGAACTTCATTACCTAAATTGTTTTTCCAAACAGCACCACTTTCCCAATGTTAAACCTATACTGCAACGTATCTGTGGAAAGTAAGGGGGGTGGGGGGGGGGGGCTAAACCAACGCAGCAATTTTCAATGTCTATACTAAGTCTATCTTTCGAAAAAGGTGGGGGGGGGAGGGGCTAAGCCTATGGCAGTATAATCAAACAAGAAAAGGTGCTAGCGCCTGAAAAAATGTAACTGAAAGAAGTTCGACAATTTTCCATTTTCTTTTATCTATATGTACCCCCCTTTCCGCCTTTCAAAATCGAACTTACGTCTCAGAATTAAGTTGGTTAATGTCCACTGCATATATAATAGACATCGTATTTTATATGCTGTTTGGGATATTTAACTATTTTAGGCATTTGTTGCCATAGCTTTATTTAATATTTAATTGATAGAAATAAGAGTAATTTTCAAATAGCAACCGATGAGATGTTTTCAGTTTATAGCCGGTGCAGGATATGCAAAGACTCTGATAGCAACCGTAACTTTAAAAAATCGTGTTTTATCCAAAAATTTCTTTCACAAAACACTTTTGAATAGTTTTAATCATTTGTAAGTATTATTATATATTGACGCATCTTCACATACCACAATAAACACAATCTAAATAATAGATAATTTAAAAAAGGCATGAAAACTGGGTGTGTATTGACTTGGGATTTGATACAGGCTTCGGAGATTCTACAAATTCAAAATTATTAGAGGACTATTCTACAAAATACAAATGACAACATTTATAGAAATGCCTTACTTGTTCCGTGCACTTAGTTTTTTCAATGACTACATTGATTTGGGGTCTCGATTTCACAGTTTTACAACTTCTTCCAAGCGACTCAAACATATTTATTTCTGATAGCAGCCGTAGAAATTTCGAATAGCAACACTGAACGCTATTTTGTTCGGATAGCAACCGTTTAGGTACTACACCGTGTCCAAGCGACTCAAACATATTTATTTCTGATAGCAGCCGTAGAAATTTCGAATAGCAACACTGAACGCTTTTTTGTTCCGACAGCAACCGTTTAGGTACTACACCGTGTACATATGTATGTAAAGTATGGAAGCCCTGGTCCTAACTCTTCAAGAGTTATGGCCAAGGTTAACATTTTTTATAAGAAGGTCAGATTCCAAGGTCAAAGGTCAACATTCTTGAAATCAAATGAAAGGTCTTGTCACAAGAATTAAATATGAAAAAGTATGCAAGCACTAGCCCTAACCCTTCAAAAATTATGGTCAAGGTTTGCTTTTTAAAAGTAGGTCAAACTCCAAGGTCAAAGGGATTTCTTGGAGCCCAATGAAGGATCTTCTCACAAGGATTACATATGTAAAAAATGAACGCCCTAGCTCTTACTGTTCAAAAGTTATGGCCAAGGTAAAAGTTTTTTTCCTCACAAGTACAGAAATCTCCAAGTTGTTGGTATCCTATGAAAAAGTCTTTTACACAGAATACATAATTATATGAAGTATAAAAATCCTGCTATTAACTATATTCAAAAGATACGACCAAAGTAATTGTTTGGAATTTTTCTGGAAAAGTGGGTCAAACTCCAAGGTCAAAAGGTCAAATTTGGTGGTACCCACAGAAAGGTCTTGTCACAAGGAATACACATGTGAAATATGAAAGTCATAGCTCTACTAAATCAAAAGTTATGGGCAAGGTTAAAGTTTTTGCAGACAAATAGACAAACAGACAGACAGACAAAGAAACAGCTAGACAGACGTTTGGAGACAACAAAAGCTATATACCACAGAAACTTCGTTTACGGGGGCATAATTGTCAATTTAGTGAATGTCGCTACAGGAAAGTGCAGTTTGCCCGTACGTTAGGCAATTATCCCACGTTTCCAACTATCGTCGATCGGATGTCCTGGCACACTCTACTAATTAGACCGTGATTCCTTAAATAAATCTCATAACTTCTTATTTCATGTATATGGAGGTACTGAGTATATTCCCCGAATATTGAAGTCCCGTTGTTTTCTTAAGCTCAGATAATTATGTCTTTTTTAGATGCAGACAATAAACATGTAGGTTTGGAAACTTGATGAAACTTGGAGTTTCGGTTTTAAAACACTGCGGAACTTAAGATTAGGTTCCCGCAGAGTTTGGTAGTGTTTCAGCCAAGTGGAAACTGAATTTTACTGTGTTTTTTTATCCAGTGTCATTTGGATTTGGTCAGAGACATATGTACATGTAAAGCATACATTTTATGTCTCTGATTTGGTTCACTAGTACTTTCCTTTAATAATAAAATGTAATCGGTGCTCCTGACAGTCTTATATCAGCTCAAGCAGTCTGAGCCATCCTTAAAGCAGTGCACTTACGTACTAAACGCCCAAGGATATTGACCAAAAGGCCTCTGTGTGATGTCCCATTGAACACATTTGGGATTTTTATAAGGAATGTCTTGAAAAGCACCCCCCCTTACACAATATCAACGGTTTGGTAATATATGTATCTATGCAGTAGGCGTGACAGCAGATGGGTCAATGTCCTATTCAGGGGTACATGGTATCCAACAGTAATTAGAGCGAGTGGTGATCTTACTCCATAGAGATTATTTTGTGTGAATTTTCATTTTGAGGGTACATGCATCATTTCCTTGACATTTTGCTTAAAATTCTGACAAGATACTTACATGAAATTTATGCAACATCGAACTGAAATATGCATCATTAACCATGAATTAAAGAATTTATTTGTTGTTTGCATTTGTTCTTTAAAACTTAAAACATGTTAAGTGAACACTTTGAAGTTTGATTAGGTGTATATTTAAGGCGTTGTACCAAATTGGTTGTGAATAACTTGTCAAAACTCAGCCACTGTCTAGTATTACAGAAACTGACTTCAAGAAATTTGATATCAACGTAATCAAACCAGGACATGACATGCACAAATTTGTGTAAAACTATATAAATACGTGTAACAGCTTGCAAAATTTCTTTCGCAAGTTTAAACATATTGTATTAAGGTAAATATCACAATAATATTTTTTTCTCAAAAGGAAAACTCTTTCAAACTGAAAAATTCATTTATTGTTTCTAATTGATATTGAAAAAAAAGATCTCGTTCATTGTAAAACTTACCTCAATTTTTCCATTGTTTTAATTAATGTTAATTTTGAATATTAAATGAACTTTAGAAATGTTGTATTGATTTATATATAGAGAGATTATTATTAAGTATATAATTATGTTTCCGACTTTATTTCAAGCGATTTTTAAATATGTTGCCCCTTGTTCTGATGTTAACCATTGTTTCTGGGACAACTGCAGATAATGGCAAAACTCTCAGCTCGCTTTCCACAGTTAAGGTATATATACGTTATAAATATTATCATATACTTATTTAATAGACACTGAATAATAAACACAGAATTTTTTGGATATGCGATATGCCTGACGTCATAATGGGTGATACGGACCCTGCAGGGCTTACACGAATTTCTAAAACAACCAAATGGATTAACCCTTAAACTTTTTTGTTCTAATTGTATTGTTAAATGGACTTTTGAGCTCCTTATCTCCATATTTTTATTTTATTTTTTTAACGGTTCTTGATCGCACTGAACAAGATGTGGTATGGAAAAGTGTATATATACGTATTATAATCTCCATGTATCATTTCTGCAGGATCTATATAATAAATGCTACTAAATTGTGACGTTAGTATTTTGCATATGCAGAAAAGCTGCTATATGGGTAAATATATTTAATTAAATTTACAGATGGTATATATTCTTGTGCTTCTATATTTACATCCTTTGCTAGTTTTTATGTTGACTCATCGAAAGTGAAATAATATTTAACTAGCTTAATTTAAAATAAATCATAGACAGAAATGCATTTTATGAAAATATGTATATAAAAATGGTTGTATAAAAATTTATTATGATTTCACTTTCAACTGATACAGCACCATCTTTGTTATTGGTGTCGGAAAATGTCTAGATTATTACAGATATTGATTTTTGAAAGCTTAATTGATAATCATTTTTCATGTAGAGGGAATCAAGATTGCAGTCATCCCCTTTTTACAGTTTATTTCTTCACTGGATGAAATATACTAAAGATATCAAAGATATGCAGAAAGAAATGAAATCCCTTCACGATCAAATCAACGAGCTTCAAAATTTTCACAAAAACTGGAATGATTTTTTCGGTATAAAGAGAAAAAATCTGCGACATAAATTCGACTTCTAGACTGTATTTCTTGTTGCTTACCAAACTTGATGAAGCTACAAAAACTTTAAACAACGTTAAAATTTGGATGGATAGAAAAGACGAAGAATTTGTGAGGTTTGTGGATTTGCAGAGAAAAACTGTCCGAAGAAAAGTGGAAATGAATCTTATGAAGGAAAAAATATCTGCACTTCAAAAAAAGAATTTAGAACTGCTGTATAATGTAACTAAATTGGAGGAAAGAATAAAAGAGACCAACTCCTTTTGTCAGAAACTGGGTGATCAAATCAATAGATTTGAAGCAAAGGTTGATACCAATTGGAGAAAAAGAAGTGACGTTGATTCACATATGAGACTGCAAATCGACAAGGTGTTAAATAAAAGCAACGAAAATCATTTGAAAATTCCAACTCTCTCAAATGGACTGAATGCTACGAAAGCAAAATGTTCCAATCTTGAAATGAAACAGATGTTTTTGGAAAAGAAAATCAGTGAAAACTTTTCAATGTTTAAAAAAGCGGAACAAACATCAGGAATTAAGATAACAAAATTTTCAACTCAGCTTGCTCATTTAAATGATATGAGAACCTCTATGCAGAACCAAACCAGCAATAATAAATGTAATATTAATAATTCTAATTCCTGTTTTAAAGACTGTAAACGTACATATACATGTATTAGTTCTCTCAAATTATTTTAGCGCAATCTCCCTCGTCAATAATATTAATGCGTACTTTTGGACCCATATATACTACAAGAACTGCTTGTTAAGTACACTATATGGTATCAATTTTTTTTAATTTTAAAATATATATCTAGAATTTTATATTCAATTTGTAACTGTCTGAAGAGCCATTAAAAATCAGAAATCGCTTACATTTAAAATGACTATTCGAGTCTTTGCGAATCTTGTTTTTTTTCATTGGATGTATTAATAATTTAATATTTTACTGTACCAAAAAATGAATTGTTCTTAAATCATATATATACATTATAAACGATGTGTTATATTTTTATAACTTCTAGGTCAAAGTGGAATTGTGGTGTCTCCATACATTTTTAAAACAGCGGATAAAACTGTGAGCTTTAAGGAACCCTTCCAAAGTAAGCCTAACATTGTGTTTGGACTCTCCTTGTATGATGCATACCATCACGTAGATGATCGTCTAAAAGCCTATCCGACAAAGCTTGACAAATACGGATTTACTCTTAAGAATATCGACCTGGGGTTCTGAAAAACTGTATCAAGCAAACTACTTTTGGATGGCTTGTCAATAAATTATTCCGTTGCGAAATAAAGCATGGACTTTCAATTTTTTTTGTTTTGTTTGTTCTTTGTCTTTGTATTTCTTTGTTGTATTTCAAAAGAAAATTCTGGTCTTTATAAAGGAGCAGAAAAGAATTATTCTCATGTTTATCATGAAGGCAAAGGTGACCTCTGAAAGATGCTCCAAAACTAAAATCAAACGGGAAATAGGAGTTATCTCGCTTAAACCACCGTAGTTTTATTCAAAGGGCGACAGCACAGTTGTAACCCTGCAATGTTCGCTCACGTGCAGGGAGACAACTCGTGATGTCTCCCTCACGCGCAGGGTGACAACTGTTATCTCCCTTCAGGTGACAATGAAATAGCGTAAGCGAACATTGCAGGGTTACAACTGTGCTGTCGCCCTTTGAATAAAACTACGGTGGTTTAAGCGAGATAACTCCTATTTATAAGTCAATCTGATTAAAATCAGATCCTCGATCAGCTCCTTTGTTTTTTTATTGTCGCTACACGAGGTAGCGACAATAAAAAAACAAAGGAGCGGATCGAGGATCTGATTTTAATCAGATTGATTTATAAGTACAATGGCTAAATATGCGGGATCGGTAAACAATAAATTCTAACGATGAAGTCAAAGTTGTCTGTTGACATATTTTGAAAGTATGGAATCGAATCGAAGCAGAGTAGAAGAAAATAAGAGGTTTGATTACTATTTTCTACTTTATATAATTGATAATTGTATATTCTTCAGGATAATAAAACTATTATGGACTGTTTAGAAGGGAGACATCACCAATTATCAAGTCTGAGTAGGGTTGTCACCCTCAGGCGCAAGGGCCCTCGGGTGACAACCCTACTCAGACCTGATAATTGGTGATGTCTCCCTTCTAAACAGTCCATAATTGTATAGTGTCTCCCTGCACGTGACCTGCTCTTAACCAATCAGATTGACTGTATAATTCTGAAGGATAATAAGAAACAATGATCGATATAAGAATAATATCTATATTTAAAACAATGTAATTATTTCAGAGATTGTAAATGAATACAGAAAATATGGTATGAAGATTATTGGCGATCAAGGGCACGGTTGATATTCAATACAAACAACTTTCACACAAAAAAATCGGGGGCTACAATGAACTAGCAAGCCCCCCAAAAGTACGAACAACATATGATATCAAAAAGTTGACCTTGATTCGGGGAGTTGCAAGACTCGAGATCAAGGTTCAACAAATGCATGACTGAGCTTGATCCTGGGAGGAGCAGGACTCCAGGTCAAAGATCAACATAGCTACAGATCTGTAGCTCTCCGAAAAAATATATTGATAGACCGGAGATCTGTAGCTCTCCGAAAAAAATATATTGATAGACCGGAGATCTGTAGCTCTCCGAAAAAATATATTGATAGGCCGGAGATCTGTAGCTCTCCGAAAAAATATATTGATAGACCGGAGAGCTACAGTGCCACCCATTGAAAAAACTGTATATTTATTGCGCACCAAAAAATGCGCTCGGTTCTTGATTAATTCTTCCAAATTCTTACCTCAATTGCAAAAAAGGACGATTAAAAAAAAAATTTCTCCTCTATCAAGCACTCTCATAGTTGACATCTGAACGAAGCATACTGGACCGAATTATCTTTGAAACCAAAATGGCAGTATAAATAAGCGAAATGTTCTATGATTACAATATCAGGGTCAGGAGGACTATTAACAACAATTATGAGGAATGTTTGGTTGTGGAAACAGCGAAAGAATATGTTAGGAACATACGGTTAGTAATATTTTGAGATCACAGTTTTAAAAACATGGAGAAATAAATTGAGATCCGAGCGCACTTTTTTGTGCGCAATAAATATACAGTTTTTTCAATGGGTGGCTCTGTAGCTCTCCGGTCTATCATTATATTTTTTCGGAGAGCTACAGAACTGCAGCTAAGATCAACACATCAAAGCAATATGACCTTGACACTGGGAGGTGCAGAGGTCAAGGTCAGTTTCAAATGTCATGTTTCAAAACTATATTTTAGTTACATGTACGCTTCTGATGAGTTAGATAAGGCGTAGATAGGTTTTGGATTGAAAAAAGGAAGATTTTGAACTCAACTTTAAATGAATAAATTGCACCATCCTTCCTAATATTATTGCAGTGATTGAAGAGAAAGGCGATAAATTTGAGTGTTCATGATTTATATAAATGCACATGTATCTAAGGGGAATAACTGGATACTAGCTAGGAAAGACAACTGTATTTGCATTCCTTTGATAACACCATCCCATTCTTACATTCATAGGAAATAGATGCATAAATATGTAAAGAGGGTATAAAGCACAGCATTGTATTGTATATAGATTTTTTTCTAGAATTTCTAGATCAACTTCACCTTCTATACCTGTTTCATTCTGGAAAATCGTAATATTACTGGGTATAGCTATCTGTGAAAGATTATTATAATCATTATATTCTAACTAATTTATTCATTTCAATCAGAAAAAATTGTGCCTCCGGTCTCAATGAAACTTGATCACAACTACAAATAGTAATCAAAGCATATTTAATCACGTAAACATCAAATATGTATAAAAATATTTGTAACATATGGTAAAGGTTTTACCTATAAAAAATTATACCATTTTCTCCAAGTTTTATGATTTTCTTTTCTTTTTTTTTAATTGTTTTAAAAATTGTTTGAAAAAATTTGCCAGTTGACTACTTTGTATTATAAATGAAGAATTCTTTTTAATACGAGGCGGAAAATACTTTTTTTTTGTATAATCAATCATTTCAAAACCATACTTTCATACTTTCACAAAGATCCTGAATTGCCATATGTACATAAATTAAATACTTGTGTGGAGTTTTTTCTCATACTTTGCATTATACATGTATATATATTTTATTCAACTGCATGTTTGTGTAAATGCAGATGATTTTTGTTCATAAGCCTGTATTATACGTATAGATATAGATGTTCCGACATGCTGTCTCTTATACAGATGATTATCATTGCTTCATGGACAACTGCAGATCTCCACAAAAGTAACCCGCTCTCCAGACATAAGGTTAATATAATAATTAAAAATTCTATAACGTTCAATGACGTTAACATTTCTACATTTGCATCGAATTAACCACTTTGTTCAGATTCAGTTTAAGCGTCGATGACATTGTTTTATTCAGTGTAGAATACAAGAATCGAGCATATTACATGTATTATTATATTTAAAATTTATGTAGCCTGGTGAAGTGTAATATAATGTCACACTGTTGTTCCACGTTAGGTTTAACAAAGACTTGTAGTAATTTTGAGGAAAGTCAATGGTTCACACCTTTCATGAGCTAGAAAAGAATTTGATGACAGGGGTGAAAAAAAAATAACATGAAAAGTAGGGATTAGTATACATTACACATGCATAATGATAAGCAACTTTGGTGGGATCTTTTTTTTTTTATTATTGCAGAAGGACTCGCGATTGCAATCTACCCCTTTTTACAACTTATTTCTCCACTGGGAGAAACGTACAAAAACTATAGGAAATATGCAGAAAGACATCAAATCCCTCAATCATCGAATCAACGAGCTTCAAAGTTTTCACGGAAAGAGGGAGGATTTTTTCGGTATCGAGAGAAAAAATATGTCACAAGGCTGCGATGCAAATCCAACTGTCAAACTGTTTTTCTTACTGCTTACCAAATTAGACGAAACGACAAAAAATCTTAACACTATGAAAATGAGAATGGATAAAAAAGATCAAGATTTTAAGACTCTTTTGACCTTGGAAAAAAAGAATGTTCGGGAAAATGAAACATTGCATTCAATGAACGAATAGATATTTGCACTTGAAGAAAAGAACTTGCAACTACAATCAAATTTCACCAATCTTGAGGAAATGTCACGTATATCTGATGTTCGTTGCCAGAAACTTGATGCTAAGATTGTCAAACTTGAAAGGGGTAAAGAAACTACATTTAGGAAACTGAGGAAAATAGATTCAAATTTGAAAAAAGATATTGGTAAATTATCAAAAAAGAGCAGACAAACTAACACTAAAATACAGTCATTGACTAATGGACTAAGTTCTGCAAAGGCAAAATGTCAAATCTAGAAATGAAACAAGTTTATCTGGAAAAGAAAGCTTTAAAAGGAATTGTGGACATAGTGGATACAGAACGAATTACGGCGGGTAAAATTAAAAACATTTCAAGTCAAATGGAGGAATGGAAGACTTCCCTGCAGAAGCAAACCGGCAACACTAAATGTAAGTCTAGTACAATGTTCATGTCTTACCTATACCATAAATGGAAAAAAATGAACTAAATGCACGTATTTATACGATTACAAGTAAGTTTTTTTTTTTTACAATTATAGGTCAAAGTGGGATTGTCAAGTCAGCGTACAATGCCAATAAAGCTGGTATGATATCGGACCAAACAGTGCGCTTTGTGACACCATTCCTAGAAAAACCTAACATTGTGTTTGGGCTTTCATTGTACCATTCAAGTCACAAAACCAATGATCGCTTGAAAACTATTTTGAAAAAGCTAGACAGATATGGATTTACGCTGAGAATTTCTGCTTGGGATGTTACCGTTCTGCACGAAGCACACTACTTTTGGATGGCTTGTCCATGAAAATCTGAAGATGAAATTAAATCTGTAATTTCAGAACTGTATTTCAGAAAATTCTGCATTTCCATTTATATTGAATGACAATGAGTTCAACTTGCCCCTTATGAATCATAAATTAAAACTTATTTCCGATGTCAAAGAACATTGATTTTAATATTTACGGAAGCGTATTAGGGCCGCAGCAGTATCTTTTTTTAATTTGTTTTAACAAATTATTAAGTTGTTTAAACAAATTACTAATTTGTTATAACAAATTATTAATTTGTTTCAACAAATTTAAAAAACATACTGCTGCGGCCCTAATAAGCTTCCGTAAATATTTAAACCATTTGAACTGGATAAAAAAATGTTGCAAACAAGCATTGCTAAATATTAAGAGATCTTATACATGTTTGATTGCTTTCATAT